TCGAATAGCACTAATGAAAATGATGTAGGGATAAAAATAAAATTTGAGGTTAGACCCCTTTTTCCACCCAAAGTTCTACACTGTAGCAAATCTGACGTCACGTTTCCATGCGGTAGGCACAATCACGCCGAGTTCAATCTTTCAATAGTATATTATGTAACAAGTGTTATAAACGTCCTTTTAGTAACGAGTATTTTAAGCACGAGCGGAGCAGAGCGGAGCGAGCGTTTAATAAAAGAGTGTCTAGAAGAGTTTATGAACGCGTTACATCTATGTTTTTTCTACGAACTCCGAAAATTACTTTAACATACCTGCTATTTCTGCTAACTTACGAACTAATTCGAGAGGAATGGGAATTGAGAACTTAATACATGCAACTGCATGCAACCAGCGAGACACGTATAAGTGATATTAGTTGTAGATATGTCCAGTCCATTGCTTACTAACCTATGTTTCACGTTTATTGTCATGCTTAGCGCAGAATGAATAAATTGTTCTCAAAGATGGATGCTTCATTTTTACACTTCTTGGAGATATCGAGATATGCAAGCACCAAAACATTCTCTTCGATTACATACTCTCATCTACATTTCGCATATATTTTTATTGAAGAATTCTGATACAAACGAAAATTGTTCGAATAATTCTGATACAAAATTCCTACAATTGACAGGCCAGACATGTCCCAAATTACTGAAGCTGTGTTTAATGAACTGTGTTGCCATGGTGATGTGTTTAAGAAATCGTGTTGCCATGGTAACGTGTTCAATATTCTGAATAAATCACAGATCGTCAATTCGTGATTAATCGATCATTTAGCGTGGTACATATCCGTACGCTAAATGCCATTTTAGTTATGTGAGTAGAAAAATTGTTTTGAAGTGGCGTACTTAATTTTTTTCTCGTATTTTGTTCAATTTTTGGGATGACATTTCTCGTTAAGTAAAAGAATTAGAAGAAATCTGATATCATGGGAATATTCCTTAGACTGTATCATATATTAATGTGCTGAATATGTGCACTTATTTCAGAAACACCTTGTATATATACAGTGCTGATGGCTCTTGTTGGGCTAGTTATGAGAAATAAGCCAAAAACACCGTCTCTGAGAAAGAACTGCATGTCCTCTTTTACCTTCCACTTCGCGGTTACTTAAATTACCAAACAACCACTAAGTTCGCAATTTTTCAAAATCAAATCACAGAATTAGACTGACAGATATTTGATTATTTCAAAAGAATTTTTTTTTACGAATTGTAGCTTTATTCTTCACGAATACCTTTGAGAAATAACCACCTTCAAACGATTCGTCTTTATATCATATACAGGGGTGTAAACAAAGTACGAATTTTTCGGTATTTTTCAAGAAATTCTGTGGAGTGAACCATTCAAAATTGAAAGGGTTCCTCAACATCAAATTGTAGCCCAATCTATTCCGAATATTCTCGTTTTTTATTCATTTTGATATCTCAAATATTCAAGAGAATACAGAGTTTCAATGGAAAGGTGGATATTGGTATTAATTTTACCACCTCGAAACTCGAACTGGGGATAGGAACGTGTCGTTTTTCAACTTGTTTCTGTGAGGATTTTTACTTCAAGATGAGAATTATTCACAGTTTTACCTATCGGTTTACTGTTTAAAGACACATATACGAATACTCTTATGAATATGCAGGGGTGATAAAAGTTGCTTCAATGTTCTTTTGGTGAAATGCTATTTTTGTTAATCTACGTTGGCTATTTTGTTTATGTCAATAATTATTGTCCAAGTCAAGCGATTTACAATTCAAAATTCATAAATTTGATTGAAAAAAATCTTGTCACAATAGACTAATAAGTGAAAATGATAGCAATATTCAACTTTAAGGGGAAATTATCTCAGAAACAACTTGAGAAACAACACATTTTCAGATCCAATTCGAGTTTTGAGGTGGTAAAATCAATACCAATATCCACCTTTCCTTTGAAACTCTGTATTTTCTTGAATAATTGAGATATCAAATTGAGGCAGGAACAAGAATATTTGGAATAGATTGGGCTACAATTTGATGTTGAGAAACCGTTTCAATTATCAATGGTTCACTCCACAGGATGTCTTAAAAAATACCGAAAAATCCGTACTTTTTTCACACCCCTGTATATGATATAAAGACGAATCGTTTGGATGTGGTTATTTCTCAGATATATTCGTGAAAAATAAAGCTACAATTTGTGAGAAAAAAAATTCAATCGAGCGATCGGTTCGAGAGAAAATTGATGTCAAACTTAGTGTCAATTTTGCCCCTTCCCCTAATTGTGCCAGTGTGAGTATTATATATATATCCATTTTTTATATTCATAATTATATCTGAGAATATTCCTCTTCAATACTTTCACCCAATCAAGTGGTTCAAACTTGAACTTCTTATTTTTAAAGACCTCAATGGCAGATTCGTGATTAGGTTTTCTCAATTCAGAATTTTCTTTCCACGTCCTGTATGATGAATATCAATTTATCATACATCCAAAAAGCATTGAAATACTTTAATTATCTACAGTCTACAGTAGGTATCTATCGTCATTGAAATATACTGTAATATAGTTTTCAGAAATCGCAGACTATAACTAATAGTGCTGGTAGTATATTCTCTAGCACTTTGCTTATCAAAATCCGACTATTGGTATATATATATTAATATTAATGAACGAACTTAATCGCGGTATCGGTAATTTTTTTCGTATTTCAATGCATCACGTTGAGCGAACATTATCATTATTACAATCTAACGAAGACCCCCCATAATTCCGTTCTGAATCAATGAAGCGCCTCTAATCACCCTGTATATATTCCATCCTGCGCAATTAACCATTTCCCAGTAATTAATAAGGATCCCGGCTTGTTTGATAAAAAGAGACTCTTCAAATAATGGCGGTCAGTAAACTTGTACGCCAATTTATATTTAATATCTTTTTTTTTTATTCATTTATCCACCAATTAGGAGAGAAAAATGGATTATTAATTGGCTATCTTCTTAATGAGAGGAAACGATTGTTTACTCGGCTTGGATACAGTCTGGCGAGATTTTGTTTTTATTTCGCAAATAATCTCTCGTAATATCACATCCAGACACCGATTGGAAGAATGCCGAGAATGTATCATCAGTCAGTACAAAGAACAAAGTTCAGCAACGGAGTATTTTACTGTCGATATCAATACGTACCGAGTGGACCAAGTTTTATAGGGTAATGAAACTGTTATATACAGTCTGTCCAAGATAAGGTTGCACAGCATGGGGATCTCGGAAACGGTAGGAGATACGAAGTCGGTTAAATGGGGAAAAAGTTGCGCATTCGGAGGCTCATACCAACAGTCTCCGAAAATTTTCAAAATGTTTTCTAGTTTTTCAGTTATATCGAGAAAAGTGAATTTTTGGAATCTCTATTTTATTTTTTTTCTCCGTTATTATTAGAGATACAGGAAAACTGAAAATACTTTTTTATAGCAACTTTTGATGACGTTTAACGTGGTGATACCGATTTTTCTATGCGATGTTTCGTATTCGTAGAACCATCATCAACTTTTGTTTTTTGAATACGGTCCTGATAATTCTTTCACAGATTCTGAAAGCTTTTTTTATTCTGAATTCAACCATGTATTATACAAGGTGGTTTGAATGTGTTTCGAACTATTTTTAGCCATCATCAATGTTTTTTTCCAAATTCCAAAGGAAAAATGCCATGAAATAATATTTCCAGTGGCGTAACAGTGGGTCTGTTACGCCACTGGAAATATTATTTCGAATCTAATCGCACTAGAAAAAGCTCCATACAAAACCACAACATTTTATTGAAATTCATGAAAAGACAAATGAGAAATGAATAGAAAAAGGATTTTTCATGGAAATATTAATACCCCCTTAATTTTTTTCGGTCTTATTTAGATACACCCTGTCGAACCTTACGGTTTTCCGTCGAACCTTACGGTTAGATGGCCTAATCAGATTTTGTATAACTCTCAGAGCAACTACTACCTCCGTTCATGAGATACAGGGCGATTTTGAAAATTCATACTTTTCGGACCCCTTCTATATCTACGAAGTTATCAGAAATATTGTTGCCATAAGAACGACATTCAACAGGGAATTTTGAGCATAATCCAGTAGCGTACTCATTTTTTTTGCGGGGTATGGTTTCGGAGATACCACACAAACTTTTACATCCAACTCTAGGGAGTTCATTAGTCAACACAAAATATGAGATTGGTATTCTAGAAAAATCTGGTTTTTATAAATCAAATTGCAAAAATGATGATGGTAAAGTTTGCTACATCGGTAAAACAGGTCGCTATAGTTCAAAACTAGATAATCGGAACCGAGGGGTAAGTACCTAGCCATTTTTTGTACATCAGGGGGCAATGATTGTCCCAATATACCAAAACTGCCCCGCAATGCCTCTTTTTTACTCAACAATGCCTGATAATACCCGACAATGCCCTGTATTGCCCAACATTGCCCTTCAATGCCGAACAATCCTAACATTGCCCCTAAATACGAATACACCTATCTTTTTTCATCACATGTGTTGAAAAGAGACGAATAATATCGAAAAGAGAAGAACACTTTCTTTTGTCTCCTATAAGAAGTTTCTTCAAATTATTGTCATAATAATTTTTCTAATTCACAGAAAAACAATGACTAGTTGTTCATGTTTTCTCTAAAAACCACACATACCAAGCAGTAATATTTATTAAACTTATATTATACCAATGAAACATAAACAATAAACGCGTACTGGCAATTAGTATCTTTGAAATGAAACATTTCATCAAAATGTCATGAGCAAAAAGTAATCCAAAATGGTTGATTATCCAGCCGAGCAGGTACTAATTGAAAAAACATTGGCGGGTATTAGAGACTACTACTACTAAACCACCGAACTTTAAATCAATATTTCATTAAATAATACTCGAAATTCTATATCGAATACGAAGGTTTTTAAAGTCATATTATATAGGTATTTTTTCGGGACACCTTGTATCTCAAAATTAAAAAGCACTCAGAAGACATCTAGAACTCGTTTACTTATACAATAAATAAAATAACAGAAACGCATTTGTTTACAGGGTGTTCATAATGAATTCTGCACAGAGCATTGAATTGAACACCTGTAAATTGTTAACAATCAACATAATTCGACTAATTGATGATTCTACTATTGCTCTATGTGCGATTCATAATAAATCACCCTGTATTGGATCCTCATTTGTTCCCAACTCTATATGCCCCTCCGTACTCGAAAAGAATGGCCCTTAGCTGGGACCACCTGGTAATCTTCGATGTCGCTGGCAACACCCAGGTTAGGTCCAAAGGGTCCATTTTTCTACCTCCGGCTGCTATCTCCACTTGCAGGTTCTTATCGATTTTGACGCTGTACTTTATTTTGGCCATGTTGTCGAGGCTCAACTTGTAGAAGTAGGCTTGGGTTTCTGTGAAGCTAACCTGGAAACGAGACGCAAAAGGTTCCGGTTAAGGCAATGGCGATTTCACTAATACTCAATGTTGACTGAAATCAGTTATCAACATAGCACAATGGTTAAAATATCCTTAACATTTCCTGTTTTGAAATTTTTCAATGATATAGTACGAAGATTTGTATGAAAGTTCAATTCAATGAAGTGATCGAAACATGTAGTCACTTTTTTTATGTTCTGGTTCCCACGAAAAGGGATATCCTGAAGTGAGAACCAAGGGAAATAAAGTAGGAATTGGTGTTCTTAAATTTCTGGAGGTTATATATCTCGGGGAACACCTCCCTTGGCAATGTGTTCCAGAGCCTCGCTGTTCGTTGGATGAACGAGTCTTTGGAAAGAGATGTTCTGCAGGTCTCCAAAGTGACCACGAAGGGGTGCAAAGCTCCAACTCGACGGGTTAATCTCGCGGGGACTGCCAAGGAAGGAACAATTATTGATATTTGTGAAGAACATCGTACATGAAAATATGTATAAAATAGAGCCAGATCGCCAACTTTTCTACGGAGTTCCACAAACACGTTCAATATACTTCGAAAAAAATTGGTAAAAAGTTAGGAGTGTTTTATAGGATAAGTAAGCATCTTTCCATGGAAACGAAATCTACCCTCTATAATTCGATTATATGGCCTCATTTCAATTATTGTAGCTCCATAATTTATACATCTGGTATCAATCTAGATAGACTGCAGAAACTGCAGAATCACGCTATGAGAATAATTATTGGATGCGACAGGTATACTAGTATAGAGAGTATGCTCGATAAACTCAACTGGTTGAATTCGAAGGATACATATTACAAAAATACTATGATCTTCATTCACAAAATGGTTAATAAAATATTGCCTCAGTACTTGTTTTCACATCTAGTTAAAGTTTCCGATGTACATGCATATAACACCAGATCTAGAGACAACTATTATGTGAACTCTGTGTCAAAATAGTCTGTTCTACCGTGGTATAATTGAATATAATGCGTTACCTGACGATATCAAGAATATACCTATTATAATAAAGTTCAAATCATCTCTCATCAAACATATAAATGATAGAAAAACCTATACAAAATGACCTCATTCTTGAAATTATTATGTCCATCATATTGTCGTCTTAATAGGAGTGACCAAATTTTGATCAAATTTTGAAATCAGTATGATCATCTATTCAGTATATCTATTCATTAATTGATCATATTTATTATATTATAATTATAATATTAATTTCATTACCTTTCGTCAACGCACTATCAGACGAATTTTGCTTGGTCTCAAAACGAATAAGGCTAACGGTCCTGATGGAATTCCACCTATTATCCTCAAAAAATGTGCACCAGAATTAACACCGATTCTCTGCAAGTTGTTTACCGTCTCGTACAGGTCGGGTATTTTTCCATCATGCTGGAAGACAGCTAGAGTCCAACCTATCCCCAAAAAAGGAAACAAGAACCTGCCCAACAACTACAGGCCCATTTCCCTGTTATCAGTAATCTCCAAAGTGATGGAGAAAGCCATCAACATTGAGCTTATCAAATATCTGGAGAGCTCAGGAATCATCAATGATAGACAATACGGCTTTCGCCACCGAAGATCTACTGGAGATCTACTTGCCTACGTCACCCATGTATGGCAAGCTTCAATAGAAAAACACGGGGAATCTCTAGCTGTCGCGTTGGACATATCGAAAGCATTTGACCGTGTTTGGCACGAAGGACTCCTCCACAAACTACCATCATACGGCTTACCACCTCAGCTATGCCATCTCTTATCGAGTTTTCTTTCAGGCAGATCACTTCATGTGGTGGTGGACGGTGTATCGTCTGATACCATTGGCATCAATTCCGGCGTTCCACAAGGATCAATTTTGGCACCAACATTATTCCTTCTTCATATCAATGATCTGTTGGGAGTAACAACTTGCCCCATCCACAGCTTTGCAGATGATAGTACCCTCCATACTGCGTTCTCTTCCAGAATTCCCATTTCTTCCCAGGAAACTAGGAACTCACGGCGCAGGCAGGTCAATGCTGTCAATGAAGACCTTGTTGAAATCACAGCCTGGGGAACCAACAACCTAGTTGAATTCAACGCCACCAAAACGCAAGCCTGTATTTTCTCTAGAAAGGCGGAACTCAGTATGCCCGACATTGTAATGTCTGGCACCACCATCTCCACCAAGCCCACCATATCTATGCTCGGTATTTCCATCAGCAACACTCTTTCATGGGATAATCATGTCAGATCCATCGCGAAAGCTGCTTCACAAAAACTCGGATTCTTGTTCCGTGCGAAAAGCTACTTCACACCTCAACAGCTTCTCATGATCTACAAAGCGCAAATACGGCCTGTTTCAGAATACTGTTCTCACATATGGGGTTCAGCACCAAAACATACGCTGATGCTCTTAGATTCCATACAGAGAAGAGCCATCCGCCTGGTGGGTGACGCCACACTCACTCACTCTTTGACATCATTGGAACACCGTAGAAAGGTCGGCGACCTTTCACTTTTCTATCGATACTTCCACGGGAAATGTGCTTCGGAAATCTCTGCTATCATCCCTCCACTAGCAATACCAGTCAGACGAACTAGACAAGCCCAGTCAGCACATCCTTTCGTTGTCAACCTCGAAAGATGTCGAACAGCACTTTATCAAAACTCCTTCATCCATAGAACGGCTAGGCTCTGGAATTCATTGCCTGAGGAAGTATTCCCAACAACATATAACCTACAGAAGTTCAAAAAAAATTCCAATACCTACCTCCTATCCCTATCCTCCCTAGGAACGCACGATGTTCTTTGAACATTATAGGGATTCCCTTTCGTGCGCTCCAAGCGATAAAAAAAAAAAAACCTTTCTGTTTGTTATCTTCACAAGGTTCCTGTGATATTTCCCGAGATATTTCCTTCATATGTATGTATTATCTTCATGATAAATAAAATCCTATCTATCTATCTATCTATCTAGAAGTGAGTGAGTTTGTGAGCGATGCATCACCCACGAGACGAATTGCCCTTTTTTGGACAGAATTCAACAGTTTCAGGGTATGTTTGGGTGCTACACTCCAAATATGGAAACAGTATTCCAGCACAGGTCGGATCTGTGCCTTCCTTATAGATCATAAGCAGCTGGCTGGATGTGAAATAGCTCCTGGCCCGAAACAAAAAAACAAGTTTTCGGGATGCACTTTCAGCAATTGATCTCACGTGATTTTCCCAAGAAAGGTTATTGCGGATAGTAATACCAAGCATCAAAATGGATGTCTTCAAAGGTATGAGATCGGTTTTTCTAAAGAAAAAGCATGCTTGTGTTTTCTTTGCATTGAAATCTACCAAGTTATTGGATCCCCATTAGAGAATTGTTGCCAAGTCCATATTTATGTTGTCAACATTTCTCCCTCGTTCGTTTCTGATTTGCCTGGCTGGTATTGAAGCCCTGGTTGAGAAGGCGGTATGGAGGGTACTATCATCCGCGAAGCTGTGTATTGGACATGAAGTTGCTTCCAAAAAATCGTTGATATGGAGTGCAAATAGTGTTGGTGCTAGAATTGATCCTTGCGGAACACCAGCATTTATCATAATAGAGTCAGATGAGACTCCGTCGACCACTACATGGAGAGACCTGTTTAAGAGAAAACTAGCTAGCAGAGAACATAGCTGGGAAGGCAAGCCATGAGATGGAAGCTTGGCGAGGAGTCCGTGGTGCCAGACTCGATCTAATGCCTTGGAGATATCAAGTGCCACGGCTAAGGTTCCACCATATTTTTCAATAGATTGATTGATTAGATTACTCAGTTTTGGCTGAAATCAGTTATAAACGTTCCACAATAGTACGAAGATTTGTATGTGGTTTTGGCTGAAATCAGTTATAATTATTGCAGAATATGGTTAAAATGTGGTTTGAAATTTTATAAAATAGTACGAAGATTTGTATGAAAGTACAATACAATATGGTGATCAAAACCTGCAGCCACTTGCATGTTCTTGTCGATTTTGATGCTATGTTGGCGATGTTGTCGAGGCTTTACTTGTAGAAGTAGGCTTGGGTTTCTGTGAAGCTAACCTAGTAACGAGACACGAATGATTTTTGGCAATGGAAAATTTCACCGGGTTGGACAGTTTCGGTTGAAATCAGCTGACTTAGGGATTATGAACATAGTACAATGGTTACAATATCCTTAAAATGTCTTTCTTCTATAGAACGTCAAAGCTGTAGATTTCTTAGCCAAAGGAAGTTTTCCAAGAATTCATAATCTTTAAGAGTTCAAAATAAATTCCAATACCTATATTTTCTCCCTACCCTCTATAAATACACACGATTTTCTCCGAACCCTTTCGTGCCCCCAAGAGAGAGAAGATTATGGCCTGCCATTGATTCATCCTATGTAATAATAATTATCTGTCATTCATTATAAAACAGGAGTAATCTTTTTATTTAAAATACAATTATTCCTGAGACTTTTTTGAGAGGAGATTGATCGATGATATAAAATTCAGCAGTGAAAACAATCATAGTTGCAAATATACAGGGTGTTCCATAATGGAATGCTGATCCTAAAGGGCGATGATCCTTGGATGATTTTAAGGAGAGAAGTCCATATCAACATATGTTCTGAACCTCTTAGTTTTTGAGCTACAGGGTGTTGAAATCAGAAGCGTACAGCGTTTTTTTAAACAAAACATTCAATATCAGGTCTACGAGGACATCACTGGTAAAAGTAGAAGTTTGATTTTCGTCACAAAACAAAATGTGTTTCCACTTATAGTGGGTGTCTACTGAATTACCAAAAACAATATCCAACAATTTGCTCCAAAATGAATAGGAATTGAAAAAATAATCTGGTTTTCAGTAAAATCAGTGGCGTACTATTTTTTTCTTCAAAAATTGTCAGTTCAAACCCCGTACGGACGCCACTGGCGAGAATTTTTGAATATCTTTCACGTAAAAAAATGCTCCTTAATAATGAAAAGGTGTATACAAATTATCATAACAATATCTAAGAGTGATAAAAAATTATGATGAAAAACTCATTTTTTTCATCACCCTGTAGCTCAATAACTAAGAGGTTTAGGACATATGTTGATGAACTATTCTCTTTGAAATCATCAAAGGATTATCGCCCTTAAGGATCAGCATTCAATTATGAAACACCCTGTATTCAAATACAATATATAAGAGAAAGAATGAGTAACTGTGATAATTATGTCGAATCCCGTTTCGAGGACGTGATAAAAGTTAGAAAATTTGATTTTTTGAGGTATTTTCAATCGTTTCTTCCAACTTGCATTCCTCCCAAGGTATGTAAGTCAATCTGTTTACAGCCATTCATTCTTTCTCATCTTAACATATTTTGCTGTGGGACAATCAAGGTGAAAAATTGATTGGTTCGAAAATTCCATTTTTTTGAGGTATCTGCAATCGTTTTTTCCAACTGGCTTCCTTCCGAAGTTATCTATGTCAATGTGTAAACGTTCATTCTTTTTTTGTCATCTTGACCTATTTTTCTGTGGAAAAATCAAGTTTGAGAATTGATTGGTCGGAAAATTTGATATTCTTCGGTATTTCCAATCGTTTTTTCCAAATTACTCCATTTCCTAAGTATGTTGCTTCTCTCCCAAGGAAGTAAGTCAATATGTATGCAGCCATTCTTTTTCTTATCATCCTCTTCCTATTCACTCAGACATTTTCTTAAGAACTCAAGGTGAACACGGTAGAATATACGTCCAATAATTTTATTTCTTCTCGAAAAAAATCAATTTTATTCGAGTTATCCGATTACCAATCATTGATAAATTGAAATTTCTTGGATCAATCGTTATGCTTATATTTTTTCGATTCAGCCTTTCATCTTGAAAAAATCATCAACTGCATCGTATTTTTGTATATTTCCCACCCCTGAATAAGTCCATCTAGAGTAGTGCTCATTAGGTTCATCAATGTCAACTGTCACCGCTATCAATGTTATAGTGGGAAATTTGAATCATAATACCAAAAATATTGCCACTGTGTAATGTACACAAACAAACTCATATCATACCCGAGATCATACCAATACCAATGACCTGTTTGCATTATTATATTCATGAAAAACCACAGGAGTATCTACAAGTAGATAGTATACTATTATGGTTTCACAAAACCAGGTTATTTCCATATCTTACAACAGGTGGCGCTGTCATCTTCAAACAGAAAGTGTCTCATCAATATTTATGATCCGTGTATAGAGATAAGTATCTTTCAAAAGGTGTGTAGCTGAGAATTTTTTAATTGCATGAAATGTGGTAGATTTGTCGTGTAGTAAGTAATACAATTAGCATAGTACTAGTCTTTAATTAGAATTGACTTCTGATTTATTATGTAAATTATATATATCAACATATAAATAAGGCATATGTCTAACATTAACTAGCTCGAACTAGCTCAACACTTTGGGCATCTGAAATTTCAACTATACATGTCATCGAACTTTTCCATGATTGTGACGTGTTATGAATGCTCAGAAACTAATGATTTCACATCAAATTTTAGAAACTAATGATTTCACATCGAATTGCCTATAGGATGAATGGACAAATCGAAGTTTGAATCATTCTTTTCTAAACAATAATGTGACAATAATGAAAATACGACGTTTAGTTTTGAATCATTATCTTACTATTTCTTTCTGAATATTCATTAGGAAAGAAAGAGGCTGTTGAATAGATCTAAATATTTGTCAACAGTAAAAACCGAAGAGCTTTTTTTATCGGATAAATTTCTCTTGGTGACGAAACACATTTGCCGATCAGTAATTTTACGAGATGGCTTAGATCTTACCTGACTCACAGGAAGATGCACGTTAAAGTCGACAATTGTCAGTCGAAGCAGTATGACATTGATCTTAGGGTTCCTCAAGGTTCTATATTAGGTCCACTCATTTTTCTTCTATTCATCAATGACATGCCCAATCCTATAAGCTCAGATTATGTAGTTTTGTATGCAGATGATACAACGATTGCAGCGATTGCAGATAACCCAGAGGAGCTCCAAGAAAAATTGAATACCTTGAGCTTCGAGTTCACAAATTGGTGTAATAAAAACTCTTTAGTGGTGAATGTAGAGAAAACTGTTCTGATGCAGTTTTATTCCAGAACCAATAGAAACATTGATAATCTTCATGTTAGAGTGGGTGATGCAATAATTAAACCATCAGACAACACCAAATTTCTAGGTACTTTTATCGATGGTAACATGACATGGGAGTCGGGTATAAATCATGTCAGTAAGAAAGTGAACTATGCTATTAGACAATTGAGGTCCAATTTCGATAAGGCTCAACTTCTTAATGTTCACTTTGCTGTTGTGTATTCCCATATTTCTTACAATATTGGCATTTGGGGATGTTGGTCAAAACTCAGCAAAATATATTCGTCTCACAGAAAAGGGTCATACGGCTAATATATGGAATAGACTACAGAGAATCTAGTAGGCAACAATTTATTGAGAATAAAATCTTGTGTGTATCTTACATTTATGTTCACAAATGTATTTGATTATTCAGGAAACAATAGCAGAAATATGATCGAAACTGTGACTTTCATTCGTATCCTACCAGGCACGGTGAATTGATAAGACTTCAGAAACATTCAACTCGTCTGTATGTAAATTGTCCATCTTCTAAGGGAGCAAAATTCTATAATCACCTATCTGATGAAATAAAAAATGTACACAGACGAAAAGGAAATCAATTCAAAATTAAACTCAAAGAATTTCTGATTAACGGTTGTTTTTATAGTATCGACGAATATTTCAATCGATGAAATGTATTTGATATATCTTCATATCCTTTGTGGTACTAGGAAATGTTACAGACTGAATATTCTGTGTACTATGTGGTTCTGTTATATTTTCATGTATCTGTATATAAATTGTGTGTGAATTTCTTGTTGTCATTTTTTATGATCTAGAAAGGATTCAATAAATTTTATTATTATTATTATTTATTATTACCTGCCATTTATTCATGAGGTCTCCCAACCTGACGTTATAGTAGGCTTGCAAAAAGCAAAATTCGATGATGAAGTCGACCACGTCAGAGCTCTCGCAATCTCCGAACGTATCTGGAGCCACGTCTCTGTCGGTGAGATGGAACATGTATCTAGGAAAGTACTTCTTCTTCTCGACGTCTTCGGTATGGTCTTCGAAAATGGTGGGAATCAGATAAGCCTGGATTCATGAAATATGACGAGATTGTATCAATTGTTTCGATGACATATGTTGTAATGCTTAAAAAAACACCATTTGAATACCCTACAATGAGGAAGTTTGCCCCTAACGAATTATAATAGAATTATTATTCTTCTAACTAGTATTCAAAAATGGCTTTTCAAATAACTCAAATTATTTTAATTTTCAAAATACAGCAATTTAGAATTATCAATGAAGCAGACTATGACGCAGTACCTAGATCTAGTGACATTCCTATGATAAGTTACTGTCTGTCTTATTTCCTCCACGCCTATATGTACAGGGTGTCCCTCCGGGAACTGCATCGATCAATATATAGAAAACCATAGGTGGGCCGAATTTGAAAATTTGGTAGTTCACTATTGTTGATGAGTGCTATCCGGCTAAAATATTTTGAAGATTGTGGCACTTCCGGTTGCACCGGAAGTGGACCCCAACTTCGTTATTTCAAATGAAACACCCTGTATTTTATTGCATTTTTAGATTTTTACTGAAGAGCTGATTTCATCGACACTTGGGGTCTATCAGGAATGATTACAGAGATATAGGGTGTTCAAAATCGATATTTTTCAATTTTGAGATTTTTTTGTGTCGAAACTATTCATTATCGATCAAAACGACGTACATGTCCCTATCTTAACTTTTGAATCACTATCTACTGGAATTTAATTGGAAAAAATACAGGGTGCTTCAAGATTCAGAATTTTGATCACCCTGTATCTGTTCCAATTGAATGTCTGGGTCTGAAGTCAAAATTGAATCCATAATATAGGTCTGCTTGTAAAAGACACTCATGGCTGTACGGATAAAAATAAAATGATAATCATCCAAGAATTCATTTAGTGCAGATGGAGTAAACTTTTTTTGTTTCGCAGCATAGTTATTCGGAATTTCATTACCACACAGGTAACAATGAGGTCGAAATGCAAAAATATGTTTAGCTGATCGTATAATTGCGCAGGAGGATTGCCCTCGTTAGCCTTTTTTTCAGCAGCAACAATATTCGTTTCCTTGGTGTATTCTTTCCTGAATGAAACATGAACTGTGAGAGAGTCTGATCTCTCAAACATATCATTTTCACAGTCTTTCCTCCTCACGCTAGCTTTTAAAATGGGTTTTAACCCTCTCTGCACACTCACAATTTCGGTTTCATCGTCCAGTGGCTTATCACAAAGAGCACAATAATTTATTGTCGTTCGGCATTCCAACTCACTCACGAAAAATGGACAAATAACATAAATTTTGAAACAAATCACTTTGCAACTAACTGTGTGACAATCGGGGTTGTTCCAAGAGGATAGAAAATAGTACTAGACAAATTTTAATTTTCGTGCTAGATTCAGAAGGAAGCGTAATTGATGTATATTTGTGATTTGGAGGGAAATTAAAAATGAAGGCATAAAATAAATGTTAAGGAAGGAGGTTCAGGATACTCCATGGTGAGACACACTAGGCTGGCGATGTATACTAATTTAAAATCTGAAATACGAATATTTTTGACAAACTTTGAAACTATTGTCAATTATCAAGGTGTTCTAGCGGCTGAATCAAACAAGATATCGAGCCGATTTTAATCTTGTTTCACAGTAAATTTTATAGGCTTTCATTTTCGTCTGATGTATTCTTTCTATAAATCGCGTCGTTTCGGAGTTATAAGCAAAAAATCAAAATAAGTCCCGAATTTTCATGGTTTATTGCGATTTTCGTGTTGACGCCAGATTCGAATCTAGTCGAAAACTAGATTTTCAGATTCAGCACGACAAAAACCATATACAGTGTGTGCGATTTCAACCCGCAACACCCTCCTAATTCAGAAGCCGTCGACCGATTTTCAGAAACAAAAATGCCATATATGCTACTCAACGAGTTCCATTAAAAAATGTGAACAAATTTGAAATATTTAGATTTTCAAGGCCTACTTTTGTTTGTTGAAGGGGTCAAAATTTCAAAAACGACTATTTGGCAATTTTTCTTCGTAACAGTGACTTTCCTATTCGACTCAAGCAAAGCTGAAATACCTCCATACGAAATTTGAACGCAAAATCTCATAGGGTGTTAGTCATTTAATGGATAGATAATTTTGGAATTTTTGATTTTTCGATTCACCCTGTATTAAAATCTATGGAGTTGATGTAACCGGTTAAGTAGTTATTCAATAGAGGAACAGATCGAATACATAGGTACGAAGTTTCATCGCTGTAACTTCTACAGGAAGATCTCTCTATACCTTTTCAACTTCAATTTCGGAATCGGTGAGTTATATTTCGGAAAAAGTAATCTCGATTTCAGAATTGGTTAGTTCGATTTCAGAAAAGGTCAACTCAATTTCAGAATTGGTGAGATGAATTTCAGAAAAAGTCCATTCAATTTCAGAAATGGTAAGTTGTATTTCAGAATTATTATTGGTAGGTTCAATTTCAGAAGATGAAATCCTTTTATATGTTTGAAATGTTTTTAATTGCAAAAGAGAAGATTGTTTACAGTGGATGAACGGTGTTTGAGAGCCCTATGTTGAATCAGATTGAACATTAATATGGGGTGCCTTCAAGTCAGAAGTGAAGAGCTTCTTGCAAGAGCATCGCCAAAGGGTCATAGCTGGGGATCCGAACAGCTTGCTCAACCAGATAGAATTCGGACTGCGATGTCTTGAGGAATGTGCAGATCATTCAATGAAAATGATAACTCCTCAAATGTGTTTTCATTCTCATAATCATGTGCAACGCTATTATCTTCCAGCGATTCGGATGGAAGGCATCTGTGGATTGAATTGAGATTATAATTATGTTATTGAATTGTTTTTGACAAGTTGAATATTGTAAATATGGTTTGTTAATCTCACATACAATTGGAAACATTTCGAACAAATATAAGGATTTTTTTTCTGAAATTGAACCTACCAATTCTGAAATACAACTTACCATTTCTGAAATTGAATGGACTTTTTCTGAAATTCATCTCACCGATTCTGAAATTGAGTTTACCATTTCTGAAATCAAACTAACCAATTCTGAAATCGAGATTACTTTTTCCGAAATTGAAGTTGAAAAGGTATAGATCAACCAAAAATCAATGAAACTGAAATTGAGATATATACCATTCTGAAAACTCAAGTAAACCGTATTTCACACACTACACCACACAGTCACTTTCAAAATCGTCTTGTTCGATAAAGAGCTGTCGAATATAACACAAATAGAATGACAGACGAATACTCTCTAAAGATTGCTAGGAGATATACTGATGTTTGATGTGATCATAATAATATACCGATTTTGGCGAAATGGAATGAAAATTTTTAAGTATAGAGAGTATTTTCTCAAATCAGTCACCATTATCTATATTTCCTAAAAATAAGTTATGGATCATAATGAAAAAAAATTCGATTTCAATTTCATTAAAATTATTGGTTGACCTAGAGAGATCTTTCTGTAGAAGTTACAGCGATAAAACTTCGTACCTATGTATTTGATGTGTTTCTCTATTGAATCACTACTCCACTGGTTATATCAACTCCTCAGATTTTGATACAGGGTAAATCGAAAAATCGAAAATATAAAAATTCGCCATTGAATAAATAAAACCCTATACGAGATTTTGCGTTCAAATTTCGTATAGAGGTAGTTCAGCTATGCCTAAATCGTATAGGCTGTAGACACTATTTAAAAAAAATGCCTAATAGTCGTTTTTGAAATTTTGACCCTTTCAAGTAGGCCTTCAAAATCTGAATATTTCAAAGGAGCCCGCACCGCAATAGGGGGGAAATTGGGTTTCGGTGAATTTTCTCGAATTTTGGATATATCGTAGAACTCGTGATGCTATTCAGATGTCCCAATTATCAACGCTCTCAATTCAATAGTTTGTATTATACAGGGTGCTGAAGTTGACTTTTCCAAAATTTCGAATGGCCATTGTGAAGTTTCCTTTTTGAATACCAAAATCAAATCGACTACTTTTTTTTTGTCCATGTGGCCAGTGAAAATCCACTATATCCACTATGATATCTGCACGTACTCACGATATACAGAGTTGGTCCAAAAATAGCAAATGTTCCAATTATTTCGGAAATAGTGAGCGGTTGAAATCAATTCATTTTTGGACATTCCGTAGTATACTAATATCAACATCGATTCATGATAATTGCATTTTTTGAATCAGACTACATATTGTACACAAGATGTTCAAGTTTCCATGAAACCGCACCCGTCCTGATATTCATATCCATCGAATGATTGGAATCCCGTAAAACTTGGTGAGGAAGTTGATAATTCGTGATGACAATATTTTATGCAAATACCTGAATTATACAGGGTGGTTGAGAAAGTAGTAGTGGAGTTTTCTTGGAGTTGACGTACTCCAGAGCATTTGAGAAACAAGACAGAAATCCTGAGTACGTCAACTCCAAGAAAACTCCACGACTACTTTCTCAACCACCCTGTATAATTCAGGTATCGCATAAAATATTGTCATCACGAATTATCAACTTCCTCACCAAGTTTTACGGGATTCCAATCATTCGATGGATATGAATATCAGGACAGGTGCGGTTTCATGGAAACTTGAACATCTTGTGTATAAGATATAGTCTGATACAAGAAATGCCATTTATCATGAATCGATGTTGATATTAGTATACAACAAAATGTCTAAAAATGAATTGATTTCAACCGCTCACTTTTTCAGAAATAATTGGAACATTTGCTATTTTTGGACCAACTCTGTATATCGTGAGTACGTGCAGATATCATTGAACTCTATAGTGGATTTTCACCGGCCACATGGACAAACAGAACGTAGTGGATTTGATTTTGGTATTCAAAAAGGAAACTTCACAATGGCCATTCGAAATTTTGGAAAAGTCAACTTCAGCACCCTGTATAATACAAACTATTGAATTTAGAGCGTTGATAATTTTGACATCTGATCAGCATCACGAGTTCTACGATATATCCAAAATTCGAGAAAATTCACCGAAAGCCAATTTCCCCCCTATTGCGGTGCGGGGTCCGTCCACATTTTCGAATAGAGCTAGTTGAGCGCTATATTATGGAATTATCGTTTTTGAAAATTGATCGACGAGTTCCAAATCAGGAGGGTGTTGCGGGTTGAAATCGCACACACTGTAGATCCGCCGAGATAAATTCTTTAGCAATTTTTTTCTGAATCCAGTGCTTGCCGTCACCAAATGACTGGATTGATACGCGCTCCGGTATATGACGTCACTGACAGTGTTCCATACCTGGTCGGCAGGTTGATCCAGAGCCTGGTTAGGCCCGAGCACGAAATGTTTCTTGCAGACCACCGAAGTGTGGTCGATGACCTCATCCAGGTCCGGAATGGCGGCCATCCAGGCTTGCCTGCTCCGCAGATCGAGTGGAAAGCTGAAAAAGTTCTGGATCGGGCCCCATATGTGGCAGGAGGGTACAGAGCAGCTGTAGAATTTCGGCTGGGAAGGGAAAAATGAGGGATTGAAGGGATTGGCAAAGGTTGATGAAACTGGTACAGTCGTTTTGGCACAACCAGATGAACATTAACTACAAAAAAGCTGTGGTGCTGTGGACCTAATCAGTAGGTGGCTATGAAAAAAAAGCGAGTCAGAAAGTTCACAAATTCACCATAGTAATGTCTTATAATATATCAAAACAACGAAAAATTAGATATGTTTGGGAATTAACAAAACATGACAAGAATTTTTTTCATAGCCACCTACTAATAGGTTCACAGCATTAATAGCGTTTTATAGTCAACTAGCAGACCTCGCAAACGTTGTTTTGCTCTATACCTTATTTTTATAATATATTTTTTCAGTTCAATATTTATCAAAACACTATTATTATTTAATTTTCTACTTCTTTTTAGTTTTGCTATCTATAAAAGCGTGTTTCTTTAGTTCTTCAAATTACCATTTATTTCAACTTCTTTTTAGTTCACTTGATTTTCCCAATTTTGTCGAAAGAATCATAATATCCCACTCCTAAAACCCCAGATGAGAATTTTGAATAGAAGAATCGGAACATAATTACAAAAATCGTCCGCAATATTAGATCTACCATCTTGAATTCCCTAATTTTGACGAAGGAATCATAATTTTTGATCCCGAGAACGCCTACTTACAAATTTTGACTAGAATCGGTATAAAATTATAAAACTCGTCCGATATATTAGTTCCACCGTCTTGAATTTCCAAATCTTGCCCTTTCCAAATTTTGACAAAAGAATCATAATCTCCGACCCCGAAAACACCCAGATAACAATTTTGAAGAGAGTCGGATCATAATTACAATACTCGTCCGCCATATTGGGTCCGCCATCTTGAATTTCCTAATTTTGACGAAAGAATCATAAACTTAGCCCACTCGACTGTCTTGGTTTTTCCACACAAACTACGTACCTAGCCCACTCGACTGCCAATAGGGACTGAAATAACAAAAACAAAAGAAAGTTAAAACTTTGCCAACATATTTCTTCTTCGTGGGAAATCAAGACAGTCGAGTGAGCTGGGTAGTGGGTACGTAGTTTATGGGCAAGAAATTAAGACAGTCGAGTGAGCTAGGTACCTAGTTTATTGGCGAAAAATGAAGACAGTCGAGTGAGCTAGGTAAGTAGTTTATGGGAAAAAAATCAAGACAGTCGAGTGTGCTTTTTTTACTTTCTTTTGTTATATATCCGATATATTAGTTCCACCGTCTTGAATTTCCAAATCTTGCCCTTTCCAAATTTTGACAAAAGAATCATAATCTCCGACCCCGAAAACACCCAGATAACAATCTTGAAGAGAGTCGGATCATAATTACAATACTCGTCCGCCATATTGGGTCCGCCATCTTGAATTTCCTAATTTTGACGAAAGAATCATAATCTTCGACCTCGAGAACCACCAGATACCAAAATTGGATCCTAATTACAAAATCCGCATTACAGGTTGATATATCAAAATAATTACAGCTTTCTCTGAAAATCTGACTACGCCACTGTATTCTATGTGAAAAGTGGAGAGACACTTTTTACTTTCCCTGTAAGTTGAAAGACAGCTGAGATACAGAGAGAGGCCCAAAAGGCAACATTATCAATATCACCCTGTATTTCAAAAACTATCCCGATAACCGCAAATTTCTATATCTCTACCAAAAAAGTGAGATATCCCGTGAGGACATCGAAAATGGGCCGGCCTGTACAGGGTGAGCGAAATTAAATGTCTCAGCTCTAAGGATCTTGAATGAAATTTACTGAGGTCCGCATTTTTTCAAACTGAACGACGTCATTGAATTCTTGTTTCCCGAAAACATGCCTATATTTTGGCATATTTGAGTAGAGCTCATTCTTCTAAACATATTCTGTATACTAGGTTTAATTCATGTTCATAAAAAATCCTATAAGCCGCTGTAATTTTGTCATTATGACAGCGAAAATAGTTTGCCCTAACTTTGTCAGCGACAAAAAAGAACTTACCATTTGAAAGCATGACGACCAAAATTGTAACCAAATCTATGATGGCGTTTATGTCACTTTTTCTCAAACTTACGTTGTCAGAAAAATATACAATCTGCAGAAATGATGCGATTTGAAGTCAACAATGTGATTTACGTATTCATTAAATTGTCTTACAAAATAGCACTCAGACATTTTTTCCTAGGTCGTAGTAGACATTCATAATTCGAGTTTTCTTGCCTTTAGGAAATTCAGCTTCTCCGATGGCAATTTTTTTCGTTTAGTTTTCAGGCAACATAATTCTCATTAAAATGTCAAGTTTATTTCGACAAAAATGAAACTGTCGTATAAACCGGTAAGGTTTAGGGGAATATCAAACAATATTTCAGGGTGACCGTTTTTTCTGCCGCACGAGTGTAGTGTAGTTATAGGACTTCACTCTTGATGATTGCCAACTTGAAAAGATCACATTTTTCTCAAAATACTTGGTAACCAGCAGGATAAACCAAAAAAAGGCACGAAAAATTCTTGAAATGTTTTTTCTCTTCATTCTCGAGATGTTTTTTATCATATCTTTGCTTTCTTTTTTTCCCTAGTTTTCAGATTGTTCTTTATGGAAAATTTATCTTTTCAAACGAAATATACCATGATTGATTTCAGTGCCTGACAATCAATTTCCTAACACAATGCTTTGGGAATGTTGAAATGAAAAGAATTTTAGCAAAAAAATGAGTGAGCCACGTTTCAAAAATGCCTGTTTTTGAAAAAAAACACCTTTCAACTCTTAGACGGAGATAGATTATCGATGTACATGTCATGAGATGTCATGAGAATTAACGCTCATACATCCAGAGTAAGACTTCCTTTGAAAGAGTCCAATTTGGCCCACCCTGTAAATACATTTTTGTCATAAATCGAACAAATACCCAAGTTATGACTACTCTTCCCGATGAGTTTCAAAAACTGCATAATTTTTCCACAAAACGTTCTAAAAACATATGATTCAACACTGAATTTATTATCATGATGGGGATTCCGAATCTTTCACACATTTTTGTCGTTGACTCAACGAATTTTGCCATAATACCGATTTAATTTTGTTCGATCCCTAGAAACTACGAAGCTACAAGTATAATTATCCACGTTATAGTCATATACTAAACAACATTTGGTATACCCACCAAATGAATTGAATAATATGAAATGTCAAAGCTGCAGCAAATTCATTCATATTTTGACAGACGTCAATGTACGGCCGCAAGTATGATAATTTCAACTTAACCAGGACAAAGAGAGTTGTAACTGAAAAATAAACATTTACCATGACTGTTCCACTCGCAGACTGCTGTTTGTTCCACAGAAAAAAACACTTTTGGCAATACAGTAAGGCTATTAATAACCCGACAATGACAGCTCAATCAATCTGTTTGTTTACAAAACAAAGGAACTGCGGTGTAAGGTCTTAGCAACCGCTATGAAGGATAAAGTCTGGCTAGCTAGAAAAACTCTGAGTCATATGGCATTGGCCGATCAAAATATGCAGCGCAATTCCAGACAACGAATGTTTGGCACTGCAAATTCAATCGATTCACATATCTGTGGTACTAAGGCTCTAAGGCAAAACCCGATATGTTCAAAAGGCAGATTTTTCAGGAAACGATTATTAAAGTTGGCGGGATCGCTGAAATTTGGATTCCATTCAGGTTAAGGCAGCGAATTCATTGAAGTGTTTCACAACGAATACCGTCTCTTCTTCTAGCAGGACAGTGCAAAATTCTTCTAGGTAATGAAGTTATCGAAGTTATTTGTGTAAATATGACATATCGTGGTTCATTTTCCTCAGTTTCATTAAGCAAATTGACATACCTATAGCTCACAAAGACTAGTATGAGGGTCATTTTTCACGAAATTCTGAAATAATTAGAAAATTGCGGTCTCAAGCGAAAAAGTTTAAATATATGAAATTGAACGACATAAAATTTCCTATAAATTATAAAATAAGTCCAATTTACTGTTCGTCTCTCGGTTCGTCTACAATCAATAGTTTCAGATACAGCTAAGGAATACAAAAATCGAGATGTATCAGAAATATAGTTTAATGGTATGAAATGGGGAAGTTTCTTATATTGTAGTTTTTATCTCACTGTCAAGTATTTTTTGCTTTATTCGTAAGATCAAATTTCACTTCAGAAAAAAAATAATAAACAAGGAACTTGGCTCCTCCGCCATTTCTATGACTTACTTTCTGAAAATCCACATTCACACATAGTTAAAATTCTATTCTCTGTGCCAGTACGACGTCATCAATATGTCTAGGTTCCGGAAATTGTTCTTTGAATGCATAATCAGTATATCATAACAGGTATTTAGATCTATGATAACAGCAATGGGATATAATAGGTTCTTCAATCCTACTTTGTCAAGTTTTATGAATAATTCCCATAAATCTCTCATTGCATGGCTGAATGATGTTGATTACTACTAAAGATGAATTATGATATTTTGCGATAGTATCTATAATTTTTCACTATCGTTATATTACAATATGTTATTCACAACTTTTGGCAGTTATTTTTTTGCTAATGAGTTCGTTCCTTAATAAAACGGATCTATTTTCTAGGAAAGTTGCAGATTATATCTTGCAAAAGCGCCTAATATTTTGAGTCCGTCTACACCACTCGAAATACTGACAGGCATAACAAGAGGAAGGAACCATGGGTGTCGGCTTCTTTCTATTCTGACCGATGGCAGGTTAGGAATCTCCAAAAGTTCAAAAAAAATTCCAATACCTACCTTCTGTCCCTATCCTCCCTAGGAACGCACGATGTTCTTTGAACATTATAGGGATGCCCTTTCGTGCGCTCCAAGCAATAAAAAAAAGCTAGCTTCGAGTGCATTTGTGGTTATGTATGTTTTTGTTTATACCAGTTTTACTTCTCCTTCTATTTTTTTCATTCGTTAGCTATTCGTTAGCAATTCGCTAGCTATATTCTTCACCATCAGCTATTTTTAGACTGGATTCAGAATGTACAGTCGTATTCAATAAAAAAGCGTACAAGTATTAAACATAGAAGATTTCGGCATTCTAGTTCTCGTTGTGTAAAATTGGCTCAGCCAATGCTTTGTGTTTTTGAGAACCTATGATTACTCTACATTGACTCTACTGTCAACATTTGGTAAACATTCATTCCCGTTAGCCCGTTTTACGAAAATAGGATGACGTTAATTTCTCCCTCCAATATACTTGTACGCTTTTTTTTTAATACGACTGTACGTCACAGTTTCAGCGTGGACATAAAACTGGAGAGTTCCGAACTAATTTCATGAAAATTCATCTGAAGGAAACTTCCCCATTGATGTTCAACGCAGATAGTAGATGAAAAAAATATATATCCCAAACAAACATCTTGAATGTGTACTCTTCAATAATAAACAATTAATCATCATCATCTTCATCACAATTTTCCATATCGAGTAACGGTGCACCATTCGTAGCAGTAAGTCAGATGCAAAGAACATGTCGCTGTTAGATGGTGTTAGCGCTCTTATTGCAGAAGTGACACCATGACACATGCCGAACACCAAGGAGCATGGAATTCCAGGTTTTCGGCACCCACATCGTCCCCCACATCCAGTAAAACATCTGCAGAAGATGCTGTTCAGTATCGCTTCAGGTGCTGCAGAATCTTTGGTTGTCACTGGGATGATCTCTCTCCCCTTTTTGACCTTTTCTGACCTTCGATTGAACTAAATGATGCCTCTTCTTGGTGTCATTTTTCTCACTACACTCATTGCCTATTTTCTTCATTATTAGATGAGACCTTCCTGTGAATGGGGGTCTGACCATAGTTCGCTCTTTGTATATTTCTATTGAAATCCAACAGAAACTACTTACAATGAGCCAGTAGCCATGAAAGTCAACATGTCACTGACATTAGTTACATTTGACATTTGTCGAAATTATCATATATAATACCACAAGTGATAATATTTTGCCGGAAATATTCGGTGATTGTTACGACACCTTGTTGCCTAATAATTTCGTGAATGACATTGTTATCAAAACTATACGAGCCGTGGGCGAGTAGTTTTGGGTTAATGTCATGAGCGAAATTAGAGCAGCAAGCTGGAGTATGTCAATCGACGAATATTTCCAGGAAAAATACTATCACGAGTTGTATTCGTATATGACTATTTCATGATTGAATGAGACAATATATATGTATATAAGAAACAGGAAACATAATTTAAGTATATTCCAACTCAAACTGCGAAGAAGAACATAATGATAGTAATGAAATTCAGAATTCAATTTTTTAGAAATTTACTACCTACTTATAGTTATTCACAAAGTGGAATGTACAATTTTGATAAACAGTATTTTTTTATTATCTTGGAGATGGTTGCTCTCAAAAAGGTGTATACAATTGCTATCCAATTCAAACAAAATAAATTGAATTTATGTGACATGAAATAATTAAAAAAAAGATATCGTCGCCGAGGGGCTCGAACCATCGACCTTTGTTTATATCTCTAGTAATTATATTAGTCACAATACCTTGAGTGATTGAAGAAGATTACTTTAAAAAGGAATTTGAATTCTAGTATTGTTGTGTCAGACTGTCAACAAATATGCAAACTTTTTAAATTACACATGAAACGTCCAGCCAGAATAGAAATGTCTCGCCTTTCCTACAAAATATCTCACTAACGCGAATTATAAGTAAATAAAATAAAGTAGGAACTTAGGTTATTGTCTCAGATTTGAATCCAAAGCAATCTTGACCAGACACGATGTCAAAATTTTATCGCTGATAAACGAGGTTTGTTGGTCACGTGTGGGTCAATTCGGCTTCTGTATTGGTAGAGCAAGTCCGATAAAATTTAATAAACAAAAAATATCGCTAGAATACAGAAGAAACCGTGAAAATGGTCGATTCTGATTGGTTCTCGAGATCAAGAGTGGAATAGTCAACAGTAAAAACACAAGAGCTTTTTTGTTTCGGATAAATTTCTCTTAACGAAAAACATTTGCCGATCAGTAAAATGTTTGAGTTAGTAAGGAAATGTATCCAATTAAAAAGAAGTTCGAGTGTTAAAATATAAATAAACGACAATATACAGATACAACAATAATGATTACCTTAATTGATGATTCAGTGTAACTGGTAGTTTGCACCGGAATTTATGACTCACATCGTCATCAAAAACCGTTTTCCGTGTAGGAGTTGATTTATCAACATTAAAAATGAATTCCTTTTGTTAGAAAATAGCTGACCAGTTAACGTAAAATCTTCGATGAACCCCATATTTTCGATTTAAATACAATATAGCACAGATATCCGACTTACCTACTTATGTTGAACATAATAAATGACTCAATCTCTAGACTACATGTATAATCACTTAACAAAAAACGCCCCGACCATTAATCAAATCACTTTCAATCCTATATAATTACGCGAGGAATTCATAATTATCCCTCTTACAAACGGAGCGATTCGTATTTCGTATAATTCTACGATTAATCTAATTATCAATTAGCGAACGATATTATCAATCAGCCGAGAACGGCCACATAATTAGTGCACTCCAACAGGTGTCGGGAGCCTCAAACATACCAGAGCACCTGATGAAGTACAATAGACATGTGACAGAGGGCGTTAAGACATCGATAACGCCTCCAGAACGGTGACGACGGTACACAAATCCTGAAATTTAGTGGTAGTCCACTAGTCAATAGACTTCGGAAATACCTGTACATTTTGCTGGAAATACTGGAAATTAGCAGAAAATACGAGAAATATTCAGGCAATACACACAATATTTTGGAATACGAGAGTACATTGACTATACAAGAAATTCATTGGCAACACACACAATACCTTGGAAATACAGATAATATGAAATACTGGCAATTAGCAGAAAATACGAGGAATATTCAGGCAACACACACAATATTTTGGAATACAAGAAATACATTGACTATACAAGAAATACATTGGCAATACAAAAATACCTTGGAAATACAGGTGATATGAAATACTGGCAATTAGCAGAAAATACGAGAAATATTCAGGCAATACACACAATATAAAGGAAATACAGGAATTTTGAGGAAATTTTCTTCTGGAATTACAGGCATTTATCAGGAAATATTTAGGCAATACAAGCAATGTATTGGGAATACAAATAATATGAAGGGAATGCAGGCAATATAAAGAAAATACAGCCACTTTTTAGGAAATACCAACAATATACAGGGTCGCTGATATGTATGGAAACAGGCGAATATCTCGGTAACCTGTTGTTGAATTTTTTTGAATTTATGTACTGTGTGATTTCAAAACGTGGCGGATTTGAAAAAGTTATAGCCAATGTTGCCACTTTTCCAGTTATTCCGGATTTTTCATTAACTTTCTTATTTGAAAT